AGGCTAGCATAAGACCTTTCTCAAAGAAAATAATACAAGTGGGTATGCATACATTTGACAACTAACATTAGGTGGAATGCATAGCTAAGTGATGCTGCTCTAGAGAACAGTCCACAAGGACTGTGGGATTCAGCATTTCAAAATGTCAGCACAAGATGTGTACGACTTATTTTGTTACGGTGGCAACAGTGATACATACTATAACTGCACTAGTTAGAGTGGGTTTTGTCTATATTGTCTCATGTATTATAAACTGATTTTTTTATGATTTGTAATAGCTCTTACAGATGTAGATAAACTAGTGGATCAAAAAATGTATTTCTTTTTTTTGTGTTCTTGAGAGGGTTTCTCTGTGTAACAGTCCTAGCTGTCCTGGAACTTGCTTTGTAGACCAGGCTGGTCTTGAACTTAAAGAGATCCACCTGCCTTTGCTTCCCAAGTGCTGGGATTGAAAGTATGAACCACTACACCCAGCTTTAAAATTTTATTTTTGAAGTCAATTACATGCTTGTAAAATGTGTTTTTATATTGTTCATAAAATAAAAACCACTGAATTTAGCAAAGTAAACTGAAGCAGTTTCTGAGTTATCTCAAATAGGTTATTGGGATAAAAGTATGTTTAGTCTGCTTCATTTTACATGATTGAAATGTCCTTAGCACTTCTTTCCAAGTAAGAGAGGTCTTTCCTTTTAGAGAAAACTAAAATATGGTACAATGTGTGTTTTTTATGGGGTATAAAGTAGAAAATATGGAACTTCCATAAGTTAAGTGGTTGGAAATGTAAGTTAGCAGCACTACAGTAACTTTAAAAACTAAGCTAGAGGGATGGCTCAGTGGTTAAGCACTGGCTGCTCTTCCAGATTGCCAGCACCCAGATGGGGCCTCACAACTATCTGTAACTCCAGCTCCAGGGGTTCCAAGGCTCTCTTCTGGCCTCTGTGGGCACTGTACATGTGGTAAACAGACACACATGAAGACAAAACACAAAATGAAAAGAATTTAAATATTTGCCAGGCAGTGGTGGCAAATCTCTTTAATGCCAGCATTTTAGTTACATTTAGGCAAATATTAATGAATAACAAGGTTATTTCTATAGTCCATGTAACATGTTTAAGTGGCTAAATTAACAAACAACTCAGTAAACAGCAATACCAGGATTCAGTCAAATAAAGCAGCTGAGTTGATGCCTTTTAGATCATTGTTTACAATAGAAGAAACTAGGTTCCCTTCCAACTTGTACTCTCTGCAAAGGAGGGGTATGCATTTGGTTTCACTGGCACTTAAGGACTAGCTCTTACAAACTGTTCTGCCTTTAGTTAACGGTGCGTTTTGTTTGTTTTTTGTTTTTTTTTTTGTCCAAATGTAGTGCCATTCAATAGGTATGTATGGTATTCTGTCTACATGTTCACATTCCACAATTTCAGTCCTTGTGTTCCATCGTGTTTTTCAAAACAGAGTAACAGGTCTGGTCATCCTGGAATTCAGACCAGGCTGGCCTTGAACTCAAGGGATCCACCTGCCTCTGCCTCCAAGAGACCAAAGTCGTGCACCACCACACCCAGCTTCCAGTGAGTTAAAAACGAATAATAAAAAACAGTATTACACAGCAAAGTGGTGGTGCACATCCTTAATCCCTGCACTTAGGAGGCAAATCTCTAGAGTTTGAGGCTAACCTGGTCTACAAAGTGAGTTCCAGGATAGCTGGGGCTACATAGAAAAACCTCAGGAAATACACACACACACACACACACACACACACACACACACACACACACACA